TGAACTGAAGCGTTTAAAGGAGTTATTTTATACAGAAATGTTCCTGGGAAAACACCAACTAGGCTGCTTTTGTGCTTACATTTGACTTATGCTGTGTTACTGGATATAATGCTGTGTCAATACTACTGCACTACAGCGCTGCTGCTGGCACCGCGATTCACACCTCAAATTAGGAAGTGTGTCATCAGTGACAGTAGCTCATCGGAAAAGAAGGAAAATGCTTTTCGTACACTTACACATGCTACTGCCCGCGAGCATCCATAAAACATCATTAAATTTTTTATATACCATCAGAAATATCATTATCATAAACTGTTTTGAAATACCATGACATAGTTTTGAGGCTCACCCCTATAACTCAGGTGATTTTTTAATGTAATATTTATTTTATGTAAAGTTAAAAATTTTACAATGTTATATTAGGGACATTTAAGGAAAAGAATTCAAGGGGCTAAAAATGGAGAAACAAAAAAAAAGTGAAGCCCTCAGATGGAAATTTAGGAGAAAAACTGGCAATTTTACAAGACAACATTTTTTTTTCCTCTCATATATTCGTCATGTTTTCTCAACTCTGTAAATTTCCTTGTAAATTTGCAAGTTGGCTTGTAAATGTCAGGTTTTTTTGTGTAATTTTCCATTTTCATAAATGTGTTTTTCTTGTTAATCTGCCAGATTTCATATAAATGTTTCCATTTCTTTTGTATACTTTTGCCAGTTTTGTTTTTAACTAGTACATAGCAAATTCAAACAAAAACATACTAAACATACTAAAATAAGCACCAAAAAACCAAAATGTCAACAGTAAAGCTGCACAAATACAGTATATCAATCTTTAAAGCCTCTGTGTGTGCCACACAGAAAAAGAAGACACTGTAGCTCAGCAGATGAGTGAGCAGGAGAGACTGTACAGCTAAGACAAAGCAGCCCTCTGTATCCAGCACAATCAGCTGTTCACTCATTGTCCAAACACCATCACAGCACAGCTCAACAGCAACAGCTACAACCATCAGGCTTCTGCTGTCAAAGCTTAACAGTCAAAAATTTGTGGTTAAAATTGCAGAAATTATTCTAGAGCAAATATTTTGAATAACATTAATGTCATCATTAAGCTTTCTTTTTTGGATGTTAGTACCTGCATGCTTGCCAGAGTGTGGTTAAACACACACTCTGGGTTGAGTGCCTGCAGATAATCATCTTCTACATCAAAATACTGCAGGATAGAGCAGGGCGATATGACCAAAAATATTTATCACGATATACATTTGAAAATTTGCGATAACAATATAACTGATGATATAATTGACACTAGACAAAACACTTTACAACTCCACAACTTTATTAGTGCAAAAAACAAAACAAAACATCAATGTATTTCCACTTAACAAGCAGCTGTTTTTTATGTGCATTAAAGTTATATAAACATTTAACAGTGAAAATGCAAATTCCTTGCTGACAGTTTAACCAAAAGGCATTTCCAGCGGAAACTGGCCGACATATCCTCAGCATAACCATGTAGAATATCCACAAAACTTAAAAACAGTTATACACACACAATACGGTAATATTATGTTGAAGCACAGTACGTATCACTCCGCGAGGCTCCGCCTACGATAGCCGTAACGCTCCGACGATCCATTGAGCGGTGCGGCTTCGTAGCTTTGCAAAGTCGTACTGAAACATTTGACAGATTTGTACCACATAAAATCGTTTCGAGGTCAGTAAACAACCAGAATTCATACATAAGGCACACGGGATTATAAGGGGCTCTGTCGATTTTCAGAAAAATCAAAGGATTGATTTTAAGTGTGCCGTATTTTCCAAAAAAACACGGTAATAACGACGGCCCGCTAGCATGCGCTACCAAAAATAGTGCTTTGTTGTGTATCTGACGGACCACACCACTGAAGCTGCAGCATTTTTACAAACCAGTTCTGGTTCATCCGTTTCATTCAACGATCCGCTTTCTCCCTTCTCATTCTCCGTCGCCGCCATGCTTTTGCCGCCATGTGCGTATGAAAACAAAGGCACTGCGCATGCGTGTTTTACCCATATTCTATCACGATATTTAATTTTCTTATCGTTGCCCAACATTATAGCGGTATTACTGTGAACGGTATGATATGGCCCAGCCCTACTACAGCACCCTCCATCTTCCACCTCACATTTACATCTTCCTGTTATAGAAAGATCCAATCCACTCACCGATCTGTACAGGAAGCCCAGTTTGTTTAATGCGTGTATGAAAGCGCATGTAGAGCACTCATTGGTGCATCTGTCAAAGACAGAAATTCAACAATTCCTGATGAATGTTTGGATGGGCAACGGTAAATGTGTGTTGAACTTTGATAAAACACGAATATAAGATGGAAAAAAAGTAGATTTATTTTAAAAAGGTTAAGAGCTGTGCTGGCCCACAGCTCCAGCAGTGTTAGTGTCATATTAAAAAACACGGACCATCGTATCTGTTACACATTTTGCTGAGAGAATGATCACCACGTCCACTGAACACCTTCAGTGAGAAAAAGATATCACAATGTTTTAATTGTTTTTAC